TATGAAAAGAACATAATACTCTTTTTACGTTGTACCTCTTCCTGAACTGTCACAGAGAAGTCTCAACACTCAGTGATTACCTTTTTCATTGTCAGCTACAAGAAAATCCAACCAGAAAGAGGGCTTCCATTAGGAATACTCCTCATTTTCCTGCAAAACATCTGATGATGTAGAAATCAGCATCTTTTCCATGGTAGAAACGAGGGGGCTGCTTTTTACAGGCTACAGATGTTTTTCTGTTTTCTTGTGGTTCTCCATCATCTCAGGACACAATTATATAACAAAAATGGTGACCTGGAATCAGAACAACCAGCAAAGGGATATGTCTGGTTAAGACAGGAGCAGCACTAGAAGCTCTGTTTTGATGAAGACAGGACCTGCTGGACTCCAAACAGGAGTAATCAGAGAAATTCTGTGTTTAATGTTATAAATACCTCAAAGATCCATTTTGATCTTAAAATCTCAGTTTACAGCCTATGTGTTACCTTGCAACTTGAACTCATGCTCATGCTCAAGCCTGTGATCTGAAACAGACCAAGTGCCTCAGCCAAAGTTCACAGCAGCAGATGAAAGGAGTTGGCTTGAACTGATTTTGACCTATAACAAGGGTGCCTGAACAGTAAAGTGGAATTGGGCATCATGTTGAAGACCATAGCTTGAGAAACCCAGCAGACAGGAAAATGTTTGCAAAAAATCTCAGTGTCTGCACTTCACAATCGGCTCTACTAAATAAACACTTCAGCTCTGAATAGACTCCAGTGCTAATTGCTACACCTTATCTTCATATTAAACATTTCTTTCACTTGACTGAGGAGCAGACTTACTGTCCTGTGGACAAGCCATTACTAACAGGAGTAAAACCTGCGAAATAGCACAATTTAAGATCTAGCCAGTGTTTTACATTTAATCCTACATTAATGTATAATTACATGCAGTGGATAGACATGGAGAACAATCCTAGCCTTGGCATGGAGAATTTCTGTACAGACATAGCAGTTACAGAGTATATTATTACTGACATCTAATTTAGTCTGTCAGAGCAGCACTATGAGGGACTAATTAAAGTCAAAGTAGAACAAATGCCAGTACTCAAGAAAAACACCAGGGAAAACACAGACAGATTTTACCAATCTGCACATAGCTTGTGCCTGTCAGTGTGAAGTGTGTCTGAGGTGGTACATTTTATACATTTACCTGCTTCAAAGCAGAATCTATTCCACTAAGATAACTCTCAATTCCAAAAGAGCAGATCACTGGCACTCACTGTTTGCCCAGACTTGCTTACTTAACCAAGCTTAAGATTTTGAATTTTGAGTTTCCAATTACATTTTTACAGTTTCTCTGGCTTTTCATAGCCCCAGAAATCTATATCCCGAATATGACAGATGTCCCATGGCAAGAAGGAAAAACAAAAACAAACAAACAAACAAAAATGACAGGCAGGTTGAAGAGAAGGAGGGGGGTAAAGAGACAGCCTAGCATTTTCAGCACAACTGTTAGACTAGCTCACTGCTAATTACTTGTCTGAAGAAAGATCCCACAACTACCAGGGTATTTTGCAGTGCATTAAATTCATTCAGTGTAGGGCTGAGGCAAAGGGAGAAAGGATGCTCAGGCTGTCATATGCCAAGCTCTAACTATTTCAGCAAATGAGAATCTTTCTTGCCAGAGGCCAGTATTTTGAAGATGCCCTGAAAAGGCCTGTTTTAAAATTCACTGAAACTACAGGACTTCGAGTCAACTAGTCAAAGAGACAGGTGCTCCTGAATAGCTGTTTATTGTTTGCAGTATATATGCAGAGAATGAGAATTTGCAATTTCTCATTCTCAGCACCTGAAATTACCTCAATTTTGCTATCAGTATTTGGGACATGGAACCTTAAAAGCACCAAAAACAACCACATGTTTCTGCTTAGGCTTCTGAGGTTACACAAGGCAGGGAGACAGGACCCAAAGCTGTGCATCCCAAAATCTACCACTCTGCCATATCAATCAGCTGTGTGACATTCAGTGGCTGTTCCCAGCACGGGCTTTGGCCACAGAGCAGTGCACATTGGTGATAGCTCCAGGTGAGGCTAAGCTCCATCCCTTCCTGTGGGCAGACTACTTGAATAGCAAAAAATAGGCTGTATGTGATGGCTTTGGGTATAAGAGTGACAAAGAGGTTTCACGTTTGCACTGGAAGGCTTTCAGAACTAAGCTATGAAAGGCATTTCAACACATCAGCAGGAGCTTAAAGAAAATGATCAGCCCAATGCTGGCTTTCCTAGCTTGGCTGCAGAGTATTTTTCAAAGTCCAACATTTTCAAATTATTCCTGCAGGCCCACATGTAGCCTCCATCAAGGCAAAGCTGGTCTCCTCTATTGCTTTATTCACAGAGTAGTTCAGAGTCTTGTTACTCCCTGAGCAGACACTGGTCCCCATTCCCCTCCCCATCTCTGTGCTGGAGATGCTCCTCACAGCCTATCCAGCATATATATCCAGCAGCAGGCTTTGGCTTGGCTTGTACAGCACCAGCCCAAACTGAGGGACAGTGGCTGGGTTTAGAGCAGCTCCTGTCTTCTTTCTTTAGATGGTTTTCAGAAGGACAGGAGCCGAGCTTACCTAGAACAATCAGAGGCTAACATAAAATTACACTGTATTACCTCAGTCAGATAAATCACTTTTGGGAGAAGAGGTTCATAACAATTCCAGACATGCCTAATAGTTCCACTATGAGTCTCTGGATAAAGCCAGGGACTGGAAACAAAATGAAATCATTACATGAAATTATTTGTACTACTGTAATGTTTGAGAGCCACAGCTAAAATGAGACCTTTCTTTAGCAGGTGCTGTGCAGAGCCAGACAGAGGCAGTTTCTGCCTGAATTATTTTGCCAACTCAACACAAAGGAGAAATGCAGGGGTACACTTTCTCCCTCTCTTCCCACAGGCATAGGCACAGAGGAGGTCTGGGGTCAGCCAAGGCTGGTGTGGATGACAGCTGGGAGCAGAGGTTTTGCAACATCACCTAACTCAGGTAGCCTTATTTTTATTGTTGTTATTAAATACATTATCAGAGCCTCCTCAAGCAGTGCTAAACAAGATGATTTCCTCAAGCTACGCTCCAAGAGGCATATTACACCCCCCACCAAACTTATTGAATTAAGTGAAGTGTGCGTATTATCTTTGCTTATGGCTTTCAAGGCTCATGAATGCTACTGTAATTGTTTCATAACACAGATCAATAAGGAAAGCCCAAATATGCCCTGTCTGCCTCAGGGCAAAGGCATTAAGAGTAGCTGGGTAACAGCTTTTTCGAGATCTTTCTGCCCACCAAACAAAGGGAACTCACTGTAAACTCTCACTTCTCAGGAAAATATCTTATTTGCAAGTCAGTCTGAGAATTTTTCCTTAAACAGATGATGGCAAGAATTTTCATTTGGAATTAAGGGATCAAGTTAACTGGCTAGGGTTATCTTAAAAAGTCCTAAATCTTCAAGCATTTTAAATTAATCCACATTTTAAAGGGCCTCCCTTCACCCCATATCTGTGCTGTCAAGTTTCACGTGTCACTTGGATGCAAAGAGAGATCTGCTAGATATTCCAGAAAGATCACACAGGTAAAGTTTGTGTTCACTTGAGGACAACAGGAAACACAAAAAATACCAAAGGACAATAAAATAAATGAAAAAAAACCCTCATTTATTGCTATCTTGAAGAAATTTTTGAGTGTGTTTTCCATTTGCACCAAGAGGAAGTATGCCTTGCTATTTATGCAGCAAGTTAACATATTTCTGAAGACATAAATAAAAATATCAAGGTGAAACACTGAGGAGTTTATTAGCTTAGTTATTAAGAGCTCTTTACACTTAACAACCTAAAGCATACACAGAGCAATTTGCAATCAACACTTTTTAAGCTCTGAATAATCCATTCCTTAAGCAAGCTTTCCTGCTTCCTTGAAAACATCTTTCATGTCTTCAAACTTTCAAAGAGGAAAGCCAAATTCATTAAAGCAACTTCTTAGTTATGCTTTCTTCTATCCCCCCTTATTCCATCATATCTCCTGTTCTCAAGTGAGCTAATTAATTTGTAATTGGAGCTGCAGAGCCTCCTGCCAGGGCAGGACTCAGCCCAGCGAGAACATCTCTCGTGGACCAGAGGGATGTGACAACTGGCAAAGCTGATGGCCTGGGACATCTAATCCCTTTTCCTGGTTACACCTTCTCTAACCAGAGATCCCTCCAGATTCCTCCTTCCACTGCCATCTCCTCTCCCATCCAGACCTCATAACCTCACCGCTCTGTTCCTCCCTCACACACTAACTCCCATCTTCTCCAGCTCTTCCAATCCCTGCAGTACCCAAATGCCTCCTCTCCCTTCACTGGTCAGTTTTTTCTTTCATCCTCCTTCTCTTTTTCTCACTTTTCCTTATTGTTTTTTTCTCTTTTCAACACAATCTACTTCGGAAAAATTATTTCTGCTGCTAAATAGAATTTGTGAGATGTGCTGTGCTTATTCAAGCCTTGCTCACAACACCCAGGTTAGCTTAATATATTCTCTTAATTATCTTGCTGGCTGGCTGCAATACATCATCTTAAACAAAGCTAGCAATATGTAGTGCACTTAAAGATAGCTCTTGGAGTGTAAATGATCCTACAGGTTCTTGCAATGATCATGCAAGTGAGACACCTTCTGGCAAGGGTAACATGAAACAGACACAAACATTTTGCAAATAAAATCCTTTTTTTGTAAGTAATTCATGAAAACATACCAAATACCAAGAGATGAGTGGGAATAGAGAAGCAAAATTCATGTTTCAGATATAAATCTTGAAATTCTGACCTTTTTACAGACTTTCTTAGAACTGAGTATCACAGCACTTCCACTTCTTTCCCTGACTATTTAAATGCCATTTCTCTCTTTCTCTGGACTGGAAGCCTTTAGTGATCATATCGTAGCAATTCCTTAAATTTTCCTCAAATTCAAAAGAAGAATATAACTTTCTGCAACACCCACCTGGTAGCTTTCAGGAGAGCTGCAACACCACGTGGCACAACAAGATGCTCTGTAACCTCTCCTCCAGGCTTTGTGTTCACTTGTTCTTTGTTTTGTTACTATTAATCGGAAATAAATATTGTTAGGCAAAGAGCATACGGTGAATCTGAGAACCTAATATAGGCAGTCAATTCAATTAGAGTTGATAGGAGAAGAGGTGGCTTTGCAAGAAGACAATAAGAAAAGGAACCAGTTAACAAATAACAAACAACTTTCTTTATCATGGGCCAGGCCAACGATTCCACTAAAAAAAAACATTACTAAAGCTATAGCAAAGAACACTCTGGGCAGGACCTCATTTGCCTTAACACGACACCAAAAAGTCATGCTGTAATACTCAGCTCTTTTGATTGTTTTTCAAATTTGTATACGTCTCAGTCTTGTATTAACACATTTTTCACAAAACAAGAAAAAAAAGAGACCCAGGACCTTTGTTCTGAAATAATGCAGTATTTCCCAAATCTGCAATGAGTAAAAATGTTTTCGTAAACTAACTTAATTAAACTTTGAAGGGAACATCTTTAAAAAAAAAAAAAAAAAAACAATCCAAACATTTTGGTAAGGTGATAATGCAACAGCTGAGGTGAAAATTAATGTAATCTAATCAATGTAAACTAAAGGGAGCACTACAACAGATCCTCATTCTTATATTTGTGTTGCCAACACTGAATTCAAATAGGATCAATTCTGGCATCAATATAAAAAAAAATAACTTTTTATCCAAAAATTGATCCTAGGCAGCCAAAATTCAGGCTACATTATTGAAACAGAAGCTGACACATACAGAGCATCATCATTGGGATAATTTTATTTAATGTAACAGCATCTTGAATTATTGGATAAACTATTTCAGTAGATAGAAAATTCCAAAACAAACATCAGCTTCCTGAACCCTCACCACCTGTTTCTAACAGGTGAACATTTTAGACATATACAAGAAGAGTCTATTCCACTGATTGTAAATAAGAAAATGTGGGGGTGATTGAAAACCAGACCTCCCTTTCACTGTATTTGGCTGATTGAGTCGAAAAGTCCTTCTTTGTATTATTAAGGGTTTGGAGACCATTGGATCTGAGTGCAAGAAATCATTTCCTTCCTGTTCAGATTCATTGTAGTTTAGTGCCAACAGAGGGAAGGACAAATTTGTGTTTTTCTGCAGCATGGTAAAATGTTTTCACAATCCCTTTCTACCCCTTTTTTTCCTCCCATAGTTATTTTAAAGTATTCTTAACTTCGATGACACCCTTTTTCCTTGCTGGTGGTGCCTGCTAGTTTAATTAATTTCTAGTTAATAGAAGACATTACACAAAACTATCAGTGAGCAAATTAAAATGATCTAATAGTCCTTTCTGGCTTTATACTTTCTGCAACCATTAGAGAGTCAAGCATACCTGAGCCAGGAAGGGAAAAGATCCTGTAGTGTTTAATCTGCTTGTGATTTCTGGGAACCTGTCCAATGATGCATGACTGCCAGGGGAAGACTTTATTGTCTGGGGACTCCGCTGGAGCAGGGCTTCCCGGTACCTCATTAGCCTCCACTGCAGAGTCCTTGTGCCTGAAGTGGCTTCCCTTAGAGACAGCAGAGAAGGGAGGTGGCTGCAAAGAAAGGCTGCCTGAACTTTGAGTCGTCAGAGACTTGACAGTTAGCCAAAAGGTGCATTTTAAGCTTTGCTTTAAAAAGAAAAAAAAAATTATTTTCCACATTTAAAAAAATGAACAGTTTTTTTTTTATTATTTTGTTTGTTTTGGGGGTTTTTTGTTGGGGTTTTTTTTTGGGGGGGGGGGTTGGTTTTTTGTTTGTTTGTTTTTGTGGGGGTTTTGGGGTTTTTTTGTTAGAAAAACATTTTTTACAGATGAAACCATAAGTTCTTGCAGCTTGTGTTTCTGCAAGAAGCTATAATGTCGGCTGAAAAATCAATCAATTAAGAATGATTAGCACATGGGAACAGCTCCAGAGTAAATTTTTCCTCCTGGTGTATGGCTCTTTAGAAGCTGTACAGAATATATCTCCTCCTCCTACCAGCGCGGGATCATTTCACTCCTCCCATTCTTGCCTTCTAGAAACACCCACGAGCTGAAATCTTCTAAAGAGGGAAAAATAAACCCATTTTTTACCTTGCTGGCTCCGGTGAACGGAGCGGGCTGCTCTCGTGGCTGCTCTGCAGCGCAGCAGGCGACACCAGAGGGCTCTGTGGCTGCGCTCAGCCGCTCCGCCGCCGGCCTGGCTCTCCTCACCCGTTCCTGCTGGCCTGGATCTATCTCCTCACCCGTTCCTGCTGCCCTGGATCTCCTCACCCGTTCCTGCCGGCCTGGATCTCCTCACCCCTCCTGCTGGCTGCCGGCTGCCCTGCCACGGGCCGGGCTGAGCAGGGACCTCCCTTCTCCTGCCTGCGGCCGCCCCAGCTCCGGCCTGCGGCACCCGCGGCTCTGCCCGGCCCGGCTCTGAGGGGAGCCGGCAGCGCTGCCCCGGGAGGCCATGGGCGAGGCGGACAGCCCCTACTGGAAGCGCCTCTCCCCTCTTCCTTCTATAGTAGGTCAGAGCAGGCAAAGCTCTTGGTTTCATTCCAGCTCTTTCTCTTGTGAGATCATTAAAGCTCCTGCTGCAGTCGGAGCTGCCCACGTGCATGGTGCCTGCAGTGCGTGACCAGCGCTGCCCCCCTTGGGCCTGCTGCTTGTCCCCACCTCATCCCATCTCCAGCCCGGGCTCCCTCCCTGGGGCTGCACTCACCGCTGTTGCTGCAGGAGCCACAGTGTGAGCTGTGAGGTGGTTTTTCATTTTACCATTTTGCCGCCACAGCTCAGCTAGTTTTTCTCAGGAGAGCTTTCTGGAAAATTTCCCTGCTTATCTCAAAAATCTGTGGGATTTGTTACAGTGAGAAAAAATATCCCCTTTCATTGACAAGCTCTGGCATTTGCTGAGGGAAATCCCCAGGAACATCAGGTGGCTGCTGGCCCCATCACACCTCTGGCATAGATGGGTTCCTCCCTGTTCCTGCAAAAGTGCCTCAGACAGCTGTGAATGCCCTCAGAAAATTCCCTTGGACCACAAAGCCATGGCTCTTGCCTTGCTAACTGCCCTCGCTTTTTCCAGCCATCATTAAGTCATAGGTGGCACTTTTTCCATATTCTCTCCTTTATTCTTTAAACTGACAGCAAAGAAAATCTCAACTTATTGATGGGGAAAAAAAAAAAACAAACCAAAAACAAAGCTTAATCAGGTAGAAAACAAAAGTCCATGATCTCTTCAGAGTGTGGACAGTGCTATTACAGTAACTTTCACAGTTTATTAAACATCCCTGGGCTGCCCCTTGTCAAAGAAAGACAGGATAACTGGAGCACATGGAGCAGCACCTCAGTTCAGACCATGCAGGTGCATCCATCCATGTAGGCAAGAGCAGCAGGAGCCTGCACTGAGGAGTTTTACACCATTAACCAGCATTTGTTTGAAGGATGGCAGCCTATAACTACATCATGAAGAGCACTGGCCCTTACCCAGGGCTCCTCTGGGTGTGTGGCTGTCAAAACTCCTTCATCTCCATCTGCTCTCACTTGCACAAAATGCCCAAAGAAAGACATAAACACTTTTTCTGCAACAGGTTCTCCAAGGACAACAACAAAACATTTAATTAATGTCACCCTCCTCCCCTGGACAAAGGGCAGTACAGCCCACAGTCAATCTCCAGCTGGGTGTCTGTAGGACCGGATGGCAGTATCAAGGGTGGGCAGGGAATCAGGGCTGGACTGAGCCCTGCCTGCCCACCATCCCCTCCCACACATGAAGAAGCCTTTTTCCTCATCTGCTTCAATAAGCACACTTGAATCTCTTCACTGCTGGTTTCACAAGAGGATCCCTCAAGCCTGCTGCATTGCAAGGAGTTGTGCATCTTCTTCCAACCCATAAACATCCAGTAACTGTGTCCAGCAGGTCCCAAAGGAGTGGGGAAAGCAGGGTGACAGCAGAGATGGCACAGCTGCAGGAGGACAGGTCTGCCCCACCTGCAGACACACATTCCCTGTCAGCCAAGTCCCCAGATGGCAGATCAGAGGAGCCAGCTGCTCTGATGGAAATGAACCTGTTTTCTCCCTCTCACACACAAATACAAGCCACAGGTGAAAGAACTCATGCTGGAAGATGCCTTTTATGAGGAACAATTTAACACAGATGACTTAGAGAGCAAGTGGAAACTGAGGCTCAGGCTGAGATCCCAGATAAGGAAAGCAAGGAGAAGCAGGTCATTTCTAGACATAGATCTCAATGCACAATGATGAGAAAAAAATTAAGGCCAGCTTAGGCCTCTCAGGAGCAGAGGCAGTATTGAAAGATTTACTCTCACAGCTTGAAAGCCTGCTGTGGAAAGCACAAGGAGGGACATGGGACTGCAATGGAGCACAGGGGGAGACAAGGAGAGAGAGAGAGGGGTCCCGGTGTTGAACCTGCCCCCAAAAATCCATATTTCCTGTGCCCAAGCTCCAGCCTTCCCAAGACCCTCACAAATATTTCTAGACTACAGAAGTACAAATAATATTCTTAAACCTGATAGAAAGAGCCTGTGATGGGGTGGATATTTGTTCAAAGCCAGAGAGGTAAAGTAAAAGGAGGTAAAAAGTAAAAATCTTTATGGAACAAGTCACTGCTCTGCCTGTGAGCTACTCAGTGCCCTGCCACCCCCAGACCCAGCAGGGTTCCTTCCAGGAAAAAGCCTGATTCAAGCTACTTTTCCTTGAACATGCTTGGAGAAGTGCAATTCTGAGTGACAGGAATAGAACATTCTAGCTCAGAGCCCCCCCCAACCTGGCCTCCACAGTGGCACAGCGTCCTCCTCTCCCTCTCCTCTCATTCATGCTACTGTGTCCGTGACTGAGCTCTGCCTGCAAGAGACAATTCCATTTCAGTGCAACAGATTCAAACTCTAATTGAGTTTTCCCATTTAAATCCAGGCAGGAACAGCTCTGCCAGCCTGCAATCATGAGAGCTATTTTTGAAGAGAATTTTCAAACTAGCCAGGAAGTCAAATATAACATTTTTAAAACATTTTTAAGTGGGTGTGTGCACACATATGAGTGCATTTCCTTCTGCAAGCAAAGGAACAATTGCTCCCTGTGCATGAGAGGAGCCAGGTTGCTTTAATTGTGTGGCTGCTGATATGACTTTGTGGCAGTTGAAAACAAAAAAAATCTTCAGTTTATGTGTGTATTCCTGCTTTTAGTGACTGACTGTAATGGAAAAAACATAATGCTGCTTCTCTTCTTTTAGCCCTGTCTCATCCCAGAACCATCTATCTTCATATCACCCTATGGCTGCTTGCACAGTGGTGTCCCCTCCCTTATGCTGCTTAATTCAAGTGGACAGTGGGGATTATTTGAAATATCTTGTCACCATCTCTGTACAGCACAAGGAGGGATTGTTTTATGGTGAATTTATCAGATTAGGACTCACACCCAGATTTTGCATTCAATACTGATTCAAACTTCTCATAGAACTCAGTTTTTCATCTTCTACTATGTAAAAGTGAAAAAAACCTTTGTCTTTCATGCTATTTTCTTTCAAGGCAAAGTCTAAGCCACTTTCTCTTTGGCAAGATTTAGCACACTGAACACCTATTAAGCTTCCATCACTAATTACATTGTAAACCTGTATTTTCTATCACTTTCCTTGTATTACTTTCTAAATACTGTATGGTTGTTTGGGTTTTTTTTTATAAGCTAAGTGAACTCTTTGATAGATACTTTGATCTCCAGTTTTGTAAGCCTTTACAGTTTAAACCAGTGTTAGGAATAAAAGTCAATACTTGCATACTGAGATAGTTTCAATTTCATTGATCATTTAATAAGGACAAGAGTGCTTTGCAGGGTTCACCATCTTAGAGCTAAATTGACTGGAATGTTTTGAAGTTTCAAATACTTTAACAAAAATATTCTTCCCAGGATAAAAATGTTTGCAGAAAAGCATACATTTTGCTGTAGAATAATTAACAATTAAATGATGATGAGCCCATCATCACTGTTCTATAAACACAAACTCTCAGCTACAGTGAAGCCTTGCTCTGAATTTCTCTCTAAGCAGAGCCAGTTTCAATCCATGTCATTTCCATTTATCGTTTCCCTACTTCATCAGCTTGTTTCTGAGGACATAATGAAAACCAGTGTTGAAAGTCACTCCCTAAAATTAAGATAACCAACATCCACCTCTCTCCTCTCATCCACTAAGCCAGTCACCTCACTGGACAGGTTATCATCATCCCTCTGTGCAGTGAGGAAGAATGTCTGAACACCAAGATCATGGCATGGACATGCCAGTTTTATTTTCCCACTGCTTGCATTTGTTTATTCCTAGGATGAGTTGATTCTGTCATGAAGAAGGCAGAAATGATTTCTTCATTTCTGTTTTACATTAGTAGACCTTGTTTAATCTCAATCTTAGATATTTAAATGCATTGCAATATTCTGGGCTTAAAATTGTGCTCTGACCTTTAGAAAAGGATCCTGAGGCTAAAATATCAGTTGTGCCATTCCAAGGACAGCTCATTTCCCCATACAGAGCTTTTTGTGTTGCTAACAAGGAGCCTGGTTTTTGTGTTGTTCTTCAGGAAAACAGCTCAGCCTTGGCATCATCTCTCCTGAAGTAACTGAGAAGTAAAATTTGCCCATGTTTTATGACAAATGCAGTTGAAAGCTTAGTTGAAAATTGGATTTTCTTTAGAATAGAAAGCAAGGAGGACAAACATAAATGAAAACACTCTTTTTTGCATCCCTGCGGCCTTGGAGCACCTCTCTGAAAATGGATTTTCTGGAGAAGAGAAAATGTGATGAACTAGGCCCTAAAATTACTTCCATAGTCTTAACATCTTAAATATTGTAAAATATTAAAGGGGAAGACTCTCCCTGCCACCATTAGTCCTTCAAAGCCAGTTATCTGTAGAGATGTGAAGGAGCAGACAACAGATATTACCAAAGAAGACTTATTTGGAGATCAGGAAATAAAATAGGTGAATCTATCAGAAAATAATATAGGTGTCTGAATGTGGCCAGCACTGCTCAGGGCTCAGACATACCTGGTGTGTCACTTGAGCTGCAGTAAAACTCCCCACTCCCCTTTGTGTGTGGCACACACAAGAAGTACCACGTTTGCTGACATCCTGGGGAGGGCCCAGCTGGAGGAGATCAGGCTGGGGCTGGAGCACAGGCTGTGTGATGAGAGCAGGAAAACACAGGGGATGCTCAGTCTGCCAGGGAGAAGCCTCAGGAGGAACT